GAGTATTGTTGCTGTTGTGTGCCATCAAGTTGGTCCGATTCATAGTGGCCCTCTGCAGAACAGAATGAAACAATGCCCAGTCTTGCTCCAACCTCACAATCATTGACATGCTCGAGCCCATTGCTGCAACACTGTGCCAATCTATTTATTTGGTGGTCTTCCTCTTTTTCGCCTACCCTCCACTTTGCCAAACATGATGCCCCTTTGTCCAGGAACTGATCCTGATAACATGTCTAAAGTATGAGAGAGAAAGTCTTCCCAGCGTCCCTTCTGAGGAGCGTTTTGGCCGTTCCTTCTTGGGGCGGCAGTCCACGGTACTTTCATTATTCTCCGGCAACACCATAACTCAGATGCATCCGTTCTTTAATCTTCCTTGTTCTTTGTGCACCTTTCACGTGCTAGGAGGGAATTGCTCTGCTTTCTTTTCATTCTGTCTTTTGGGTGCATCATTGCTCTGCTTTCTTTTGATTCTGTCTTTTGGGTGCATCATTGCTCTGCTTTCTGTTTTATTCTGTCTTTTGGGTGCATCGGAATTCCAAATGACCTTTGATCTTTCCTTTGAAAACAAGTTGTTTGAGACACTTTTTCTTAGAGCAAATCTGTTATGTGTGTTGTTGGGCTTGAATGGAAGAGAATCAACTCGGTATCTCCTCATGGTAACATATATAGTTTCTTGATTGATTGGGTGAAAAGACTGGAGAGTTTTACCACCTTAAAAGGGAAATCTGGGTAGAGTACATACTCCATACCTGAGAAACCTTTTTGTCTTGCCACAGGTGGAATGAAATGTTCTATCTCTTTCAGTGATTAATGTTTTTAAATGAAAATGGATCTTGTTGGAAGCTTGGAGTGCTGAAAATAAAGTATTTGAATATAGGTGTAGATTTTTTTTTGTTCTGTGACTAATGAATGGCAGTTCTATATTGGAATGAAGAAGTAATGACTTTCATAAACTGAGTAGTTTTTCACATCTCAATTTATATGGGAGTCAGTTTTACTTGTTGAAATCATCAAATACGGAGGCACAAAAGGATAAAAGATAGCTTTCACAATCACCCAGAGATAAATGCAACAATGTTTTTTGTATTCTTTCTGATTTCTTTTCCCTTGCACTTTTTTTTGGGGTGGGGGCTGGTTTCAATGGACATTTCCTACCAAAGATACTGCTGTCTGCTGACGTACAGATAGGTATGGATTTTAACAGTGTTTTGTAGCAGCCCAAGAACGAATGATTTATTTAACAAATTGCCACCTGTTGATTGTTCTGATTCACAGTAATCTAAAGCAAGAGCCTGAGAGTTCTTATGGCTCTGAAGGATAAACAATGGACTGTGAACCACTAAATCAGTGGTTCAAACCCACCAGCTCCTCCATAGGAGAAAGATGAGGTTTTCTGCTCCTAAAAAGATTTACAGCTCAGAAACCCTCTACAGGGTCAGAATGAGTCAGAACTGAATCGACGGCACTCAACAGCAGGAAAGAGTCTTGTGGCCTAACACTGAAGAGCTGGGCCGATAACCACATGGTGGGCAGTGCACACCTACCCAGTGGCTCCCTGGCTATCTGCTCCCTTACATATCATTGCTGTTGGGTAGACAGGGATGGGCAACGTGGACACTGGCTACCCAAAATGGGGGTGGGCCACAAAGGCAAGAAGTGACTGGCTTACAAGCTTTCAACAGGGAGCCTAGATCCAGAGGGCACAGAGGAAGGTAGAATCTCCACTGAGTAGTGTCCAATCTGTCTAGGTGGGGCTGATGCAAGGAGATGGGGATAGGTTTCTTGTACTACAATAGTGAATAATTGCTATCAGGACTGACTGTGAAGGTTAGAAATGTAAATAAAGGTAGACGTTTTGTAACCAAAGGAGGGGAGTAGTTGACTTTTCAGTCCAGGAGCAGAGGTCCCTGGGACCATCAAGGGAGAAGAGCAGAGTGCGGGACCCCACCCAGAGAAGTAGTGATGTCAGAGATGGAGGCAGAGACGATGACGTGGAGAGATGGAGTGGCTGGGGACTTTAGATCCAGAGAGGGAGAGGGGCTGTGTGCTGACGACCGGGGTGGCAGGCTTGTAGGGTATACCCTTTGGTTGTTTGATGATGCATGGAGGGGATAGTAATCATGGCAATGAAATGACATGCGATAAGATGAATGTAAAGCTAATGTTTTCCCATGTAAACTGTCACATAATTCACAATAAACATTAAAAACAAAGATTGTTGCTGATTTCTGGTGTAGATGAGTCAGTTCTGACTCCCAGTGACCCCATGTGACAGTAGAAGTGGCCGTAGGTTTCTGAGACTGCCATTTTCACAGGAGCAAATCATTGACAAAAGCTTAGGGGGGCCAGTTCTACACTGTAGTATGGGGTCACTGTGAGTCAAAATGGACTCCACCAGGGCATTTTACAGCAACAACAACAAAGAAGCTCTCCATTTGTCTATAACACTGAATCATTCTATGGTCTTTCTGTAAAATTCGTGTTCACAATTCGTTAGATTCATACCACAATGCCCCACATTTGTTCAAGATAGCTTTTGACCAAATGGTCTACAATGGCTTTAAAACAAAGATGAAAATGTCAGGGGGCAGGGAAACTAGATGAACAGAAGCAGAACAACCAGAAGGAAACTCATAGGAATGCTCACGAAGTGTGAGGAATGTGATCAGCGTCACAGAACAGCTTGTGGAGGAACTGTTGACTGTGCCACTAACCTGCTGTGTGAACCTTCTCGGAAAACACAGCCCAGTGTTATCTTTACGAAGACGAAGAAAAAGCTTCTGTGCTCTTGGCTTCAAGACAACTGTACCTTTCGCTTCTCTTTCAGGTGTACGAACACCAAGATGGCAGCAAGTCACTGAAGCTGGGTGACTTCGGGCTGGCCACCATCGTGGATGGCCCCTTATACACCGTGTGCGGCACCCCGACATATGTGGCTCCGGAAATCATTGCTGAAACTGGGTAAGTGCTTCCCTCCGGTCCTCAGGCACCCCTTGCTTACTGCGTTTCTCAGATGCTGCGTTTTGACAAACCAGGGGTCTGTGGCCACCTTGCCCAAGCAAGTCTATCAGCAACGTGTTCCACAGCGTCTTGGCCTATCTCTGAGTCCAGTTTCGGTCATCTTCACACAAGTTCCAACATTTTCATGACACTTGCTAGTGCACACTTAATGCATTACTGTGTACACAGAGTCCTGGCGGTGAGTGGGTTAGACATGGAGCTGTTACCAAAAAGGCCGGTGGTTCAAGTCCACCAGTTGCTCCTAAGGAGAGAGATGAGGCTGTCTGCCCCCATAAAGATCTCAGAAACCCTATATAGCAGCTGTGTGAGTCAGGACCCACTCAGTGGTAGTGGTTGGGTGTGGTGTGAATAACTTTGAGATACACTGGGAAACTGAAAAATGTGTGTGATTCATTTTATCTAGAAACTTGCTTTACAGAGGTGGTCTGGACCCGAACCCAGTGTCTCCAAGTCCTGCCTGTGGTTAACACAAAATCCACAACCAACAAGTCATTCCAACCCAGTACAGGGGTTCCCAGGCTGTAAATCTTATAGGAACAGACAGCCTCCTCTTTCTCCAACAGAGCAGCTGGTGGGTTTGAACTGCCGACCTTGAGATTGACAGCCCAGTGCTTATCCTAAAGTGCCAACAAACACCCAACTGTTCTGCCCATGCGGACAGAGAAAGCCTTCACATTCCTTGAGTTCTCGCTCTGTCTTCAACTTTTTACAGTCCAGCCGCTTTCTCTGTTGTTCAATCAAGTTGCCAATGACCGCAGTCTAGTTTTGAACTTCCCTTTGGGTTTTGTTAGAGGTAAAACATCAGTTATTAACCCCTAACAGAGGTCCCCACTAACAGAGAAGCAGAGTCCTGGTGTGGCGCTGTGGGATAAAGCACTGGGTGGAATGGTCGGTTTGAACAGCAAGCTTCAGGGAGATGCTCTCTCACACAGAAACCCCCTTAATGGTTCTGTGCCCCTTCTCTCCTCGAGCCCCCATCTCTCCCCAAGCCCTGGTTTGGCGCTCCTGGAGACCTGTGGTGTCTTCTGTGGAGAACAAATATCCTTCTTACATATCAGAGAACCACTGAAGGTTTGCCGATTCTGTGGGAGAAACAGATTAGCACCAAAGGTGTAGGGGGGAAGGGAGGTGGGCTTGGTGCTGACAATCCAGTATTGGTTACCATCTAGCCGATTCTGATTCAGGATGTCCCCGTGTGTCACAGTAGAACTGGGCTTCATGGGGCTTTCAAAGGCTGGGATTTCAGAAGTAGATCTACAGGCCTTTCTTCCAAGGAGCCGCTGGGTGAGCAGCCAAGCTCCACCAGGGACTACGGACCTACTATGGTGGTGTTGAATCCATTCCTACTTATGGACAGAGTAGAACTGCCCTATGGGGTTTCCTGGTGTGGCACTGTAGTCCAGCACTGGACTTTGAACCACAAGGTTAATGGTTCAAACCCACTAACTACTCTTTGGGAAACCCTATACAGGATCACTGTGAGTCAGAACTAACTCCACAGCATTTAACAACAACAACAATAAGGTTTCCTAGGCTGTCATCTTTGGGGAAACAGATTGCTGTCTTTCTCCTACAGATCTAATGGGGAAGTTCCAAATACCAATCTTTAAGTTAACAGACCCACCCAGCAGCTCCAAAGGACAAAAACCTGGAGATCTGCTTCCCTAAAGATGACAGCCTAGGAAACCCTGTGGGGCAGTTTTCCTCCGTTACACCAGGGGGCGCTGTGAGTGGATGATCTAT